CTTTCTAACTCGTTTTTTCCTTCCTGGCTCAGACCTCTCGGCGTCTCGGCGTCGTAAAAAAAACCTTTCTAACTCTTGAATTTCCTCATCGAATTCCTTTCTAACTCCTTTTTCCCTTCCTGGCCCTGGCTTCCTCGGGCAATTCGGACTCGATTGTCTTTGAGGTTCAGAACTATCTCTGGTATTCAAATTCCTTTCTAACTCAGGAAATTCCTTATCGAATTCCTTTCTAACTTCCCAACTCAATAGAAATGCATAACCAAAATGCTCTTGGCAATATTTCGAGCCTACATTATTAATTCCCAACACAATTATTGATGTAATTGCATACAGTGCGCACTACAGAAATAATTCCGAAACCAATTGAAGCTGTACTGTAACAAAAAAAATCAATGGTACGTCGTCCTCTGTCGTTCCTCGTGTTCGTCGTCGTCGTCGTCATCTTTGGCGTCGTGGTCGTTTCCGTCGTCGTTGTCGCCGTGGTCGTCCTTCCTCCTCCTCCCTCGTCGTCGTCGTCGCCCGTCGTCGGCGTCTCGTCGTCGTCCCTCCTATTTCGTCGTCGTCGTCGGTGTCGTCGTCGTCGTCGTCGTCTTCCCTCCTCCCTCGTTTGTGTCGTCGTCGGCGTCGCCGTCCTTCCTGCTTCTTCGTCGTTCGCGTCGTCGGCGTCCTCATTCCTCCCTCGTCGTTGTCGTCATTGTCGTCGTCGTCGTCCTCCCTCCTCCCTCGTCGTCGTCGTCTTCGTTGGCGTCGTCGTCGTCGTCGGCGGCGTCGGCGCGTCGTCTTCGTCGTCGACATCCGCGTCGTCGTCGCCGCCGTCGTCGTCGCCGTCGTCGCCGCCGTCGTCGTCGTCGTCGTCGGCGTCGTCGACGTCGTCGTCGTCGTCGTCGTCGTCGTCGGCGTCGTCGTCGTCATCGGCGTCGGCGTCGTCGTCGTCGTCGGCGTCGGCGTCGTCGTAGTCGTCGTCGGTGTCGTCGTCGTTGTCGTCGTCGTCGTCGAAGTCGTCGTCGAAGTCGAAGTCGTCGGTGTCGTCGTAGTCGTTGTCCTCCGTGTCGTCGTAGTGGGTCTTAAGAGGTTTTGCAAACCAAGTTGCGGGTGGGTGGGTGGGATGTTTGCAAGAGCATTGGATGTGTCAAATCATGGGTAAAAACAAATTCTCCTTTCTAAAAGACTAATAGATTCTACCCCCCCCCGGACTTATCGGTTCCCCCGCGCGTGCTGTAAATTACATATGATTCTGACCACATGTCCATCCTAAATATGAATTCATACCATCCCAGCCAAGCCGGGTTCCCCCCCTGCAGTTCCCTTGTAAAAAAAACTATGCGGTGACATGTTTTGTTCTAACATAGCACTTTTTCACGAATCCCTTGCAAAAAAAAGACGAAATGCACACGCGCGCGTCGTGGCGCGCGCATGCCGAAATCCTTCAAAAACCCTTGGTTCCGGAGAGATTTCAAAATTGAATTTCCAAAAAACATATAAAAACATGGTTTCGCAACACTGATTCAAAAAAAAAACTTACGCGCGAGCTCTTGCGAAATCTTAAGAAAACCATAGGTTTTCCAGGATTTTCACAAAATGCTACCAAACGGGCTTCGCGCGCGCGCATGTCGAAATCTGTCGAACGCTCTTGCGCGTGTGCCGTCGCGAGAATCCTCTGCAAAAAAATGTGACGAAATGCACACGCGCGCGTCGTCGCGGGCGTATGCCGAAATCCTTCAAAAACCTTCGGTTTCGGAAAAAAATCGAAATCTTGCGTCCAAAAAACCTACAAAAACACAAGGTTTCGCAACACGGGTTTTCAACAAAATTGTGCGCGCGCGCTCTTGTCGTCGTCGTCGTCGTCGTCCTCCCTCCTCCCTCGTCGTCGTCGTCGTCGTCGTCGCCGTCGTCGTCTTCTGTCTTTCCTCGTCGTCTTTGGCGTCGTCGTCGTTTCCGTCGTCGTTGTCGCCGTGGTCGTCCTTCCTCCCTCGTTGTCTTCGTCGGCGTCTCGTCGTTGTCCCTCCTATTTCGTCGCCGTCGTCGTCGTCGTCGTCGTCGTGGTCTTCACTCCTCCCTCGTCGTTATCCTCCTCCCTCGTCGTCGTCGTCCGTCGTCGGCGTCTCGTCGTCGTCCCTCCTAATTCGTCGCCGTCGTCGTCGTCTTCGTCGTCGTTGTCATCGTCGTCGTCTTCCCTCCTCCCTCGTCGTTGTCGTCGTCGGCGTCGCCGTCCTTCCTCCTTCTTCGTCGTTGGCGTCGTCGCCGTCTTCCCTCCTCCATCGTCGTTGTCGTCGTTGTCGCCGTCGTCGTTTTTTCTCCTCCCTCGTCGTCGTCTCCGTTGGCGACGTCGTCGTCGTCTTCGTCGTCGTCGTCGGCGTCGTTGTCGTCGTCGTCGGTGTCGTCGTCGTCGTTGTCGTCGTCGAAAACATTGGGGACGTCGTCGGTGTCGTCGCAGTCGCTGTTGGCGGCGCCGTCGTCGTCGATGTCGCTGTCGTCGTCGGCATCGGTGTCGTGGCCAAGTGCCACGCAGTACCTACCGTCACGGTCTTGTCTGAAGATATCTTGCGACCAAGTTGCGGGTGGGAGGGTGGGATGTTTGCACGAGCAGTGGAGAGGACAGCTTCAAGACAGTCGAAGTGGATTGCACCACATAGATTGCACCACATAGCCTGCACCACGTATGTATATATTGCAACACATCGATTGCACCAAATAGGTTGCGCAGCACATAAATTGCACCACAGAGCTTGCACCACATATATTGCACAAACCTACATCACAACACATATATTGCATCACACAAGTTGCACCACACAGGTTGCTCCACCAAGACTGCGTAACAGAGATTGCAAAGCATCGATTGCACAACCTAAGTTGCACGACCTATTCTGCACCACGTAGATTGCAGCACATGGGTTGCTCCATCATTGGGGCCCACGCTGGCTAACATGCACAAGCAAGCCAATTGCGCTCCCGCCGCATCCGACATCCTCCCCATCCCACCATTCCCTTCCGTTCGCCCTCTCTGCTGCCGGATTTGGCCATGATCCCCGAATGGCACGTGCAGCGAGCCTCCGCCGGCTATACAGGGAGAGGCGGGCACGCGAGGCACCAGGGAGGTCGATCGCCGTCTGGACGGAGAGAGGACGCGCACAGCAGAACAGCGCTGCAAAAGCGGGCACGAGGAAGCAGGAGGAGCAAGAGCCAAGGACGAACGAACGAACGACCATCGCTGCAGACAAGCCGATAGGCCTGGCTCAGGACCAGGTGGGTGAAGCAGTGGCCTCTGAAGTCTGGCGTCTGGATACATGCAGTGCGAGACACATAAAAAGTTAGGAGGGGAGGAGGTGGAGGAAGTCCTTCCACCTCGTCCTCCTCCTCGTCCACCTCCTCCCCCTCCTCCTCCTCCTCCTCCTCCTCCTCCTCCTCCTCCTCCTCCCCCTCCTCATCCTCCTAAGTTTGTGTCGGTCCCGACTGATCGCTCTTGGTCTTGGATGAGGACGCGCACGGAGGGGATGTTGAGGAAGGCGGAGTAGAGGAAGGAGTAAGAGGAGGAGGAGGAGGAGGAGGAGGAGGAGGAGGAGGAGGAGAAAGGCTGCGAATGATAATATGAAAAACAAACGCGGAATGAGGAGGCGAAGGAGTGTGACGGAAAAGAGGATGAGGAGGAAGGAGCAACAGCATGAACATAAGCATAAGCAGAAGAAAGGACGATAAAGGGGGATAATAGTGGGAAGGGGGAAATGGAGTAGGAGGATGAGGGGAAAGAGGAGGGGAGGAGGGGAAGGAGGAGGAGATTGATAACAAGGACGAGGACGACGAGGGGATGACGACGAACAAGACCACGACGAAGTCGACGAACGACGGCGACCACCACCATGATGAGCAAGCGACCCGCGCTGTGGCGTGGCGAACGCGCCACAGCGCACGCTCTGCTCTGGCAGTCGCCACGAGCACGCCGCCCAGAAGCCTGCGCGGCGATCTTGGAGACTGTTCGAGCGAGGACGTCGCTGGGGGAGAGAGGGAAGGTACGTCCTTTGGCGGCGCGCACCAGGGGATAGGTGAAGGGGGGAAGGCTTCTTAGAAGGAGGCCGCGTCTTAGAATGCACAAGCCCTACATCTACAGATCAGGCTTGCGCCTTCTAAGATGCAAAGGTGCTTCTAAGAAGCCTTCCCCTCTCCCCGTACCCCTCTCTGCGCGTGGCTGAGTCCTGACTGTGCGCAATCGCGGGGCGCGCTCGGCCGCGGCGGCGGGCCAGCAGGACATCTTCTCCTGCCCCCGCCTACCCCGCCTCGTCCTCCTGCTCCTGCTCCGGGAAGGTGAGCGTGCCGTGCGGGGGCAGGCACCCAGCATGAACAAGCAAACGCAGAACAGCGCCCGGCACACAGGGGTCACAAGAGCGGCAGGGAGGAGAAGTGGGGGGCAATGGGGGAGGGACAGCAGGAGGGGGAAGGGGAGGAGGAGGAGGAGGAGGAGGAGGAGGAGGAGGAGGAGGAGGAGGAGGAGAAGGAGGAGGAGGAGGAGGAGGAGGAGAAGGAGGAGGAGGAGGAGAAGGAGGAGGAGGAGGAGGTGTACGAGGAAGAGGGGGACGAAGAGGAGGAGAAGGAGAAGAGGGAGGAGGTGTACGAGGAAGAGGAGGCGGAGCACGAGGAGGATGGAGAATGGAGGGCGTAAATTTGGACACTCTTGGCTTGCATTCAAGCCGCTTCCAGTTGCTACCGCGTTCTGGTTCCAAGAAAATCTAAGCAAGACAAGCGAAAGGCTCGATGCACTGAGAGATACCACCACGCACCGGCCGGCAGCCGAAATTACTGTACTGACACCGTCAGCCTGCCAACTAGCTGCCGCACCTCGAGCAGTTCCATAGGAAGCCTGCGAGTCGGCAGGGAACGGGAACCCCCTCGAGAGGGGGCATCGAAAATCTGGCAGTCCATGCCGCCCAGTGTCGCAGACCACGACAAAACCGTCTTCCCAAGAAGTCGAGAAAGCGGGCCGACGCGACACGCTCTAAGAGAGAAACTCACCAAAATGAGCGGCACTGGGCGAGTCGCCCGAAGAAAGCCATGAAAACCGGCCTGGGGCCCCAAACGGCCACTGTACATCTATATAACACTGCCGTGCGCAGACCTCCGGCACCGAGTGAGTGCTTCTCTTTTCGCGCCGTGGGCCTCGGAGCTCGCGGCCCCGCTCCCAGGAGAGGCCTCTTCCACACGGGTCGCGTTCTGCGGGCCGTGGGCCCGAGGGCCCGGAGACGGCCCCTGGCGGCCGAAAAGCTCAGAGAATATGCCAGAAGCAAATCATTGCCAGCGTGAGCCCCCAGCAGACAGTTTTGCACACAGTGGATATGCAAGCAATGCGGCGCAAGCTGCGTGAAACCTGCGTGGTGCAAGCCGCCTGGCAGAATTGGAAGTCGTCAGCCCCACTGCTAGCGCAACCGTCCCACCATCTTACCCGTGACCTCGTTTGCACAACCATCATGCGGCCGCGATTGCAGCGACGACTTGGCACTGGCAAGCGCGTTTCTGTGGCTGCGCTACCGCGCACAAGCACGCGCGGAGAGCGGTCAACTGGTTTGGCACAACCGATGCGGCCGCGATGGCGTTTACCCATGGAAAGATAGCAGTGTACCTCAGAAACTGCGCTGGCGCGCGGACTTTTCATTGCGGGTCGGTGGCTCGGGCGGGCGGTGTGCCATGATGACGCCGACACCGGCGGCAACGATGATGATAGTAGCCATGGCTGTGGCAATGATGATGATAGCAACGGCAAGGCCAATGACGGCGCCGATGACGGTGACGACGAAGGCGATGATGATGTCTATACGTCGGTGGTAAAAATTACTGACTGAAGGCGGAAGTGGTGGCGATTGACGGTGAAGCGGTGGCATTAGTGAAGGCAACGGTGAAGAAGTGCGCGCGCGGAAATTCAAGAAACGTGGCACACGCTTTGTTGCAAAAAGAAATTACTTCTCATGTGTTGTAACAGGCGTCTTTCTTGAACGCGTCGCAAACCTATGGTTTTGGATGGATTTCGACACGCGCGCGTGGCGGCGCGCTCGTGTGGCCCGCTTGGCCTGATTCGATACGAAGTCGTTGGGCGCATGCTGGATCACCGCGGATGCACCACGTGATGGGATGAGAATGCGGATTCTGAATGAGATTGCTAAATTCGTGCGTTTGTCATGTGGTTTCAGCAAGTGTGTGCGGGCCAAAGAATGCGAGATGTGTGAACCAAGCAACTGGTTATTGATGCTTGTAGGTTAAAGCGTTTGCAAAGATGGTGTGCTTTGTCATTTGTTTACATGTGCGCGCGCGTGGATGTGCTGCAGCTCTTGTGTTGCACACGAACTAGTGAGGCTGATTGTTTGAGGTAATCGGGCGTGCGAACATCAAACTGCGCGACAAAGATGAAAAGGGGGAGGGGGACGATAGTCGGCCCAGCTGGAATGGTGTAAGCTCATGCGGCAAATCAACGACGGGGTAAAACCATACTTAATTTGCAATGTCCCACAAGTGGGCTGCTAGCCACAAGGGGGGGGTAGAGTTTTTTTTTGGGGGGGGACGGGGAATTCCCGTGGTGGAAGCTATGTGGTGTAAGGAACGTGGCGCAAGCCATGAGGCGCGAGCTATGTGGCGAAAACCATGTTTTGCAAATGTAAAATACGTGGTGGAGGCTGCGAGGGTGCGAACTATGTGATCTGAGCTGTGTCTGGTCTGAGCTACGCGGTGCTGTATTTTTTCACCACTCGAATCGAAGTCGTCATACACCCGCTGCTCTTGCAAACATGTTGTGAATGTGCGGGCGCCAAATCGTCCAAAACAGTCAGGCGCAGGGCAGCAAGCGGCTGGGTGCACAAGGACCGATTTACGACAGGAAGGCGACAGGCAACATAACGAGAGGGGGCAAGAGTGAAGAGCCCGTTCACACAATGAAAGCCGGCGCGTGGTTGCCGTGGTAGAACTTGCACGCGCGCTGCGCACGAGCAGCGGAGGCCAAGGCCATCTTGATGTGGACAGCCTTGACAAGGTACGGGGCGCCGAGATGAGCCACGTGCGAGAACATCACATTCACCCGCCCGCTCGCAGTTTGGCAAAACCCACGATTCCGATTTCCGATTGGAACCTGCCAGCGCACCTCTACGGCCGCACCAGCGCACGCACGCTCAAGCGCAGATCGCCCAGCCGGCCTGGCACAAGTGACACGGACGCGATGGCGTTTACCGATGGGAAGTTCGGGGCGCGACTACAAGGCCGCGCTGGCGCGCGGGCTTGTCAGTGCGGGTCGGTGATCCGGGCGGGCGCGAACCATGATGACGTCGACAACGGCGGCAAACATGATGATAATAGCGATGGTGGTGGCGATTTCGACAACGACGGCGGCCAGGCCAATGACGACGCCGAGGCTGGTGACGACGTAGACGATGATGTCCACGTATCCACGATGTAACTGCGTGGGACGATGATGGCCTCAATGGCGGCCATTGACGATGACGACAATGACGATGATGCGATGGCGCTGATGAGAGCGATGGGGACTTGAAAACGCGCAGAAATTCAAGAAACCTGGAAACGTTTTGTTGAAGAACATGTGTTTCTTTAATATGTGGTTCAGTGCTTGGGAAGCTATGTAGTGCAATGCTTAGAGAGCCACGGGTTTGGAAGGACTTCGACGCGCGCGTAGCGACACGCGCGTGTGGCCCGCATGTCACTCCCCATATCCGAACATGGTGTTCGTGCTACTACTCAAACGCCTGCGGACCTCCTTCCTCCATCTCCTCACGCTCCTCCTTCTCATCCTTTTCCTCTTCTTCACTCTCATATCATTCAGATACTCAGACTCAAACCATTCACGCCCATCACGAGGCCCATCCCACACTCACTTTCTTTACGGGGTCCATCATAGATTCACTGTCCCTCACTTAGACTCACCCACATCACCTCCTCACTCTGGCTCGCTCAAACTCAGACTCACTTAGACCCACGCAGACCCACTCAGGGAATTAGCCTCGGACGCAGACTCACTCATACACATTCATACTCCCGCATTCCGACACACTCTCCCTGCAATCAATAACCCGTGGCACTTGGGCACCCCAAAGGGGACCCGCCAGGGGGTACGACATTCGCCCGTTCGCGCCCAGATTGTGGGGATGTCTCAACCGGTTTGCCTGCCGTTGTCCCCTCTGATGTTTTCTTGTGGTGGTCCACTACTCACCGCGATATAGCAGGTGCCGCACTTGGGCACCCCAAGGGGGAGCCGCCAGTGGGCATTCCACTCGCCCGTTCGCGCTCAGATTGTGGGGGACGTCTCAGGCGGTGTGCTTGCTCCTGCCCCCCCCCCCAAACTTCTTTTGGTGGTCCACTGCGCACTGCGATCTAGCACGAGTGGCAATTGCGCACCCCAAGGTTACATTCTCCCGCTCGCGCCCAGATTGTAACAATGTCTCAAGCGGTGTGCCTGTTTCTGCCCCCCCCACATGTTTCTCGTTTGGTCGCCCGCTGCTCACAGCGATACAGCACGCGTGGCCATTTGCACCCCAAGGGGGAGCCGCCAGGGGGTATGATACCCGCCCGTTCGCGCCCAGATCGCGACTGTGTCTCAAGCAGCTTGCCTTTTTTTCTGCCCCAAAAACTTTCCCTGTTTGGTGGTCCACTCACTGCGATAAAGCGCGCGTGACACTTGGGCATCCCAAGGGGGAGCCGCCACGTTCGCGCCCAGATTGTGGGGACGTCTCGGGCGGTTTGCCTCCGTCTGTCCCCCATTTCTCTTTTGCTGGTCCACTGATCATGGCGATATGCATCGCGTTGCGCTTGAGCACATCAAGGGGGGGCGCCAAGGGTGGATACACTCCAGAATTCGCGCCCAGATTGTGGGGCTGCCTCAGGCGGTTCGCCTGTTGTTCCCACCCAGACTTCTCCTTGGACTTGTGTGCTCGCCACTCACTCACTCACTCACTCACTCACTCACTCACTCAGAGACCTCCTCCTCCTTTTCCTTTCCCTCAGTTTGCGCACTCATTGACATTGAGACGTACCTTCCAGTTCTCCTTCCTCATTTCGACCTGCTCATCGCACTCGTACTCACCCATACTCACCCATACTCAGACTCACTCGTACCCTCGCTCAGAATTAGACTGGTCCATGCCCACACTGAAACCAACGCAGGCTCACTATGTCACTGAAGAGGAGGACGAGGAGGACGTCACTGAAGCCGTCGCTGTCGCCGTCGTTATCGCGCCTGTCGCGAGCTCTCTCTCACACCCCGATGCTCACAGACAGAGTTCTTCAGCGAGACGACATGGTAGATATGGCATGCACATATGAGAACCTCCGCATGCACATATGAGAACCTCCGCATCGAGAAATTATCGAATATGGATTCGTGCAGGTGGCGCATTCTAGATCAGCGCATACGCACCCTGTGGAAAATGAAAATGCGGAAGCTGGAAGAGACTGCTGATATCATCAGAGTGGGGGGCCGAACGGTCATTCATTGTCCCTAGGCGCGTTGCTGAAGTGAGGTTCTGCGGTGCTGATTGTTGTTGTTCTTGTTGTTGTGGTTGTTGTTGTTGTGGATGTTGTGGTTGTCGTGGTTGTTGTTGCTGTTGTTGTTGTTGTGGTTGTGGTTGTTGCTACTGATGATGTTGTTCTTGCTGTTGATATTTGCTGTTGATTGTCATCGCCGCCACCCCCGCGACGCAGCCCGCGGCCCACCCTCGACCCACCCGTGACCCAGCCGCGACCCACCAACGACCCACCCGTGACCAACCAGCGACCCACCCCGCGACCCACCCGCGACCCACCCGCGACCCACCCGCGACCCACCCGCGACCCACCCGCGACCCGGCCCGCGACCCACCCGCGACCCACCCGCGACCCACCCCGCGACCCACCCGCTTCGCTTTAAGAAAAATCGGCGCCTGCGGCGGGCTTCTTCAGAGCCTCGCAGACTGCCGACATCCTCGCCGCCCCCTCACTCTTATCCGCAACTGCGGGGTGCTACGTACTATGTTTATATATTTTAGCATGTGCGCGTATGTGAAACAAGATGCGCAACATGTTCATTGAACATGCCATCGGCTTTGGATGTTGTGTGCAAATATGCTTGCAGAACTAATGCGTTTGATATGGTTTCGACATGTGCGCGCGTGTGGACGTTGTGGAATGTGTTGCGCGCGGTGGATTCAACATATACTTTGAAATCAACGGGTGCGCGCGCATGGGGGGGGCTCGATAACCGCCTGGTTGGGGTACGGCTCCTTCTGGAAAGTGAGCGATGAAGCAGATCCCGATGTAAATTGTACTAGCCCATGGGGACCCGATAAGTCCAAGGATCGGGACGGTGGTGTCTACTCTTCGTGAGAATTGGAGCACACGTGGTGTAAGCACTGTGGTGTGAGCTTCGCTGCGGTGCAAGCTACGTAGTGTGTGCTGCAGTCGGACCCAGGACAGAAGCACCCTCACGAACATGAGACACTGCGCCGGCCCGAACTGAAGAACACTCGAGGGTGCCCTCCCTCACAGGATGCACGAGAACACCCAACAAGCACGAAGAACATTGCGGCACCCTCCCCGAACCGACCCCATCCCCCGATACCTCGGCCCGACCGCACGGGTGCCAGCTCTGCGGCCGCCCAGCGCACGAGGCGCCCGCGAGGCGCCCGCGAGGCGCCCGCGAGGCGCCCACGGGCCGGCGGACCCACCCAGCGCACGAGGGGCCCGCGAGGCGCCCACGGGGGGGCCCACGGGCCGGCACCGGGCGAAGCCTCCGCGGACCCACCCAGCGCACGAGGCGCCCACGGGCCGGCACCAGGGACAGGCCGCTGCGGGGGCAGAGGAGGGTACGGACACCACTGCTCCCTCTCCCGGGGCGCGTTCTGACCAGGATCTCGAGGCGAATCCAGCGGTGGCGACGAGGGCTTCCCAGGAGGCCCCGAACGAGGGGGCGGCGAAGTGAGGGGCAGAGGCATGGGCGCCTTCTCCTCCTCTGCTCTGCTGAGCCGTCCAGTGCCTCAAGTGAGACAGGCAAGCACCCCGAAGCGCGAGCACCTCTCGGGGCCGCCGCCCTCCAGGGGGGCCGGGTGGGGGGGGGGCGCCCAGGAGGTGGCCCTGGCCCGAGGTGCCCCTCGGCCTGTAGGACCGCCACCTCGGGGCCCCCGCGGGGAGCCCTCCAGGCCTCCACGAGCTGTGCGCTGCGGAGGCCCGTGGGAGGGCTCCGCGGAGATCCTGGGGTGGAGGGGAGGAGAAAAGGAGGACCACGATGGAGGCGGAGCGCGGGAGCGGCGGTGCCGATCCGGGTCACCGTCCATCCTGGTCACCGTCAGTTCGTGGACCATCCTCGCGAATCGGCGACGGCCAGCAAGGCCATGGCCAAGATCGGCGTCGGCAAGCAAACGAGGGGGAACGTTGAAGGGAGAACTGACTGAGGGGGGGGGGCGTCGAGCTGGAATCGACGATACATCGCCGATAGATCCGGCGATGGGCCCCAGCTAGCAAATCCGCTAGTTACTGGGCGGAGAGGGCCATCCCTCATCGGCGATGAACTGGCGATCGGGGGTTGATGCATCCCCCCCCGATCTTGCCCCCACCCCCGACGTTGCCTTTCAGGGAGGGCTCCGAGAGTGCTATCTGATCTTATGCACCCCCTTGACGTCCGTTACAGGGGGAGGGGGCGGGGCGAACCTGCGAGCGCCACAGCGTACTTGAGAGCAGCAAAGCATGCCGTTAAGCACCACAGCCTGCCTGTGAGCACCACGCCATGCAAGTGGGGGATCCGCCCCCCCCCCACTCCCCCCCTCGGAAGTCTGGTGCCGTTACGGGGAGGAGGCGGGAGGGGGGGTGGGCGACCCTCCGCAGCGACCGTAACAGGTTCACTGGGCAGAGAACAATCTCCTGAGGGAGGGCTCCGTGGAGATCTTTGGGGCACCGTGCACCAGGGACGCCTCTGCCAGAGCACACTGGCTCGCGGAGTGGCGACCGAGGTATCCCGCGACCGCTCACGCGCCCACGGCGGGCGGGGAAAGCTCGAGCTGCACCCTGAAGGTCTCCAGCTGCTTCTCCGTGTCCCTGCGGCGCTGCTCCAGCTCCTCCACCTGAGCGACGAAAATAAACGGGTATCACGCACGTTGGCACAGCAACCTTACGCAGTGGCCTACGCGGGCCGCCAGCGCGGCACGCCACCTTGGAAACGAGAGCGCTTACGCGCGACCTTACGCGGGACTCTTACACGCCAATGTCGGTGAAGACGACCCCGCTTTTCTGCGTCACTGACCTGCTTCTGGTTGAAGCTGAGGATGTCTGGCAGACCGCGGAAGGAGGGAGGGGCAAAGAGGGAGGGGGAAAAGTAGAGAAGCGAGGGTGGTCGAGCCGAGAGGCGAAGAGGAGAGGGAGCAGGAGGAGGAGAGGAGGAGGCAGAAGCACGAACAGGAGAAAAGCAGGAGGTGAAGGAGAAGGCTCTCCTCCTCCCTTCTCCCTCCGCATTTTTCTCATCCTATTCCTCCTCCTCCTCCTCCTCCTCCTCCTCCTCCTCCTCATCCTCCTCCTCCTCCCGCTCATCCTCCTCCTCCTGCTCGTCTTCCTTCTCCTCCAACTTCTATTCCTCCTCCTCCTCCTCCTCCTCCTCCTCTTTCTCTTCCTCCTCCTCATCATCATCATCCTCCTCTTCCTCCTCCTTTCCTCCTCCTCCTCCTCCTCCGCCTCCTCCTCCTTTCCTTCTGGATAACTCCTCCCTGTCGCACCCCGAGGCCAGTCCGAAGGGCGGGATGGGCGTTTCGCCTGAGATGCCGTACCATTCATGAGCCTGAAGCTTAAGAGCTGACAATAGTTTCACATATGGAGGGCGTGTCCCTTCCGAAACGTGGCTCTCGCCTTAGCGCAGCGGACGTACGCTTAAAACATTGCAATCGTTTCACGGAGTGAGGGCGGGTGGCGAGTGAGACCGTTCCATATTTCTTGGAGTTTCGTCTTCCCCCCACTTCCCATATTTTCCCATAGTTATCGACGACTAATTGTGTCTGTGTTTTTCCCCTCCTGACATTCTTGGGACGCGGGCTGACCAGGATGTCTCGGAGAGTCCGGCCGTGGAGACGAGACCTCTCCAGGACTAGCAGCGGACTCGGTGCCTGGACTAGCGCGTTCCACGACTCGCGAAGTAACTACTCGCAAATGGCTTGGACCCGCCGCGAGGGATTCACGACCCATTTATAAATAGAGCAAGACATGGCTTGTTTCCAGACGCTTGCGAGTAGGCACTTTGAGAGTAGTGGAACGCGCTCGGTGAGTATATTTGTCCTCCTGCCCCTCCTACCTCCCCCCAGTCCCCTGCTCTGCCCCTCCTGCCGCGGGATCCCTCCGGCGGACCGCTGAAGCCCTTCAGCTTCTGCTCGAGCGCCCGGATCTTCGCGTCCTTCTCGCTCAGCTGCTGCTCCCGGCTGCTGACGGCGCGGCGCTTGTCGCTAATCGCCTTGGGAACCTTGAAGGGAGGGGCTTCCTTCCCGCTCCCCCTCCTCTTCCTCCCCTCCCCCCCTCTTCCTCCCCGCCTCCTCCGTCATCCCTCCTTCTCCCACCTCGGAGGAAAGCGTGCTCTCGAGGCCCGCACGCATCTCGGCGATCTGGGAGTCCTTCTGGGCGCACTCGGCCTCCAGCGACGCCGCCGTCCGGCGGCTGAGGCTCAGCATCTTCGGCACTTCCTCATGAGAACGACAAGTATCGTGTTGGGAGGAAGGGGTTGGGAAGATGCAGCACACGACTGCGTAATATACACATGCTCACAAATTCATCCTACCAACCCCATCTACAAACAAACGTAAAATCTTCGTAGATCCACGAACAATCGATGCAGTGTTCGCAGAGTCGATGAAGATTTCGATTAAGGCCGAGGATGAGCCAAGAGGTCCTGGCGGCTCGAATAAATAGAGCCAGCCGACGTTGAGCCATGGCGGGGGCCCCTGAAGGCCCGCGCTTCCGGCCCCAAGACCGTAGAAACATTAGTCGGGATAACAGACCGGCCCCGCGGGAGGGGCCGCGAGGGGTCCGAGGGCCGATGTCTTGACCAGATCGAAAAGCGAGAGAGAGAGAGAGAGAGAGAGCGAGCGAGTTCAGTAGCAAACTATGGGAGCCGAATATACAGTCTTGATTCCGACTCTAGCGTCAAGTAGCGTCGAGCAGAGTCTGGTAATCGATGAGATAGCGCCGGTTTAGCGTCGAGCAGTGTCGATGTAGCGTCGATCACCGTCGATTAGCGATCAGCGTCGACTAGCATCGATTACCGTCGGCCGACAAATTAGAACGGTCGGACCTAGGACATAAGAACATCCTTCAAGAACATGCGATCCTCCGCCGGCCAAACTTCAGAACATTCGAGGGTGCCCACCCACAGGATGCACAATAACCCCCAGCAAGCACAAAGAACAATAGGGCACCCTCCCCGAATCGACCTCGATCTTATACCGCGGGTTCGTGTCGTGCCGACCCCGGCGTTGGTTCCCGACAGCGCGGGGATTGTTCAATCTCGAATGATCGGCCGTTTCCGACACGTCAGATCGTTCGACATCGACCGATTCTGGGTCGACGGTGGCGATCAGCGCTGAACGCCGGCGGCGGTGTCGCCGCCGGTCGACACGACACGAACCTGGCGCACCGCGGTCCGGCCGCAGTGCACGCTGCTCCCTGCCCTGGCCTTGGAAAACATACTCCGGGCCTGCTGCCGCCAATGGGCGCCCCTCCCACCCCCTCCCGTGGGCGGGGCCCGAGGGCCCCAGGGCGGAGCCCGAGGCCCGAGGGCGGGGCCCGCAGGCTGGTGCCAGGTGCGGCTGCGGGGGAGGGGGGAGGGGGGGGGGAGGAGCAGCGGCAAGAGCACTCCGAGCTTCGCTTGGTAGCATGGCCAGCTCCACAAAAAAGGAGCAGCGGCACGAGGTGCGGGAGGAGGGCCAGAGGAGAGGGCGGGGACCGACCGGGGGGGCAGGAGGGGCCTCGGCCCGCCGCGGGCGCCCGGCCTGCCCCCCTGGGGGGCCCCATCGCGCCGTGCGCGAGGCGCGGCGCCTCGAGTCTGCCTGCCCGTCTCGGGCCTCGCGAAGGGAGAGCTTCCCAGCCGCCCGTGGGCCGTCGAGGCACGGCTCGGGGCGAGAAGCCGGCCGGTGGGGAGGCGGTCGAGACCTCCCAGGGGGGCTCCCATGAGAACTGCCACCAATCAAGGGAGGGGGGCCTGTGTTGGAGGTCCTGCCCATGTTGACCCGCGCGGGATGCGTCGTCGTCGTCGTCGTCGGGGGCGCTGTCGAGGTCGCCTTTGTCGTTGTCGGTGCGTCGGCACCGCGCCAAGGCACACGTCACGCGATCGGTCGGAGCTTCCCGCCGCGAAAGGGTTGCCGGCCCAGGGGAAGGGCCCGGGGCTCGAAGTTGGCATGACGGTGCCGTCAGGAGGGACCCACGCTTTGCTTCTCGTGGCCTTCCCTCCTCCTCCTCCTCCTCCTCCTCCTCCTCCTCCTCCGCCTCGCTCCACCCTCACTCTCCTCTCTGCCTCCTCTGCCTCTCGGCTACTACGCCGCCTCCTCAGCCTCGCCTGGCTCCAGATCCTCCTCCTCCCCTCCTCCATCCGCCTCCTTCTTCCTCCTACTCCTCCGTCCTCCGCCTCCGCTCCTCCGCCGCCTCCTCCTCCTCCTCCGCCTCCTCCTCCTCCTCCTCCTCCTCCTTCCTCCCCTCCTCCTCCGCCCTCCTCCTCCTCCTCCTCCCCTCCTCCTCCTACCTCCTCCTCCTCCTCCTCCTCCTGCCTCCTCCTCCTACCTCCGCCTCCTCTCCTCCTCTCCCTCCTCCTCCTCCTCCGCCTCCTCCTCCTCCTCCTCCTCCTCCTCCTCCTCCTCCCTCCTCCTCCTCCTCTTACCGCCTCCTCCTCTCCGCCCCCTCAACTCCTCGTCCTCCTCCTCCTGTTCCTCCTCCTCCTCCTGCCTCCTCCTCCTCCTCCTCCTCCTCCTCCTCCTCCTCCACGGGGTGACGGAAGACTCGAGTTCTTGTGTCTGGGATTTGGCTGATGGTGCGGTTCGAAAATTGGCGGGGCCTGGTCTGAAATCTGGCGCGGTCTCCCGCCACAAACTTCTCGCGAAAACTGGCAGGCCAGAATGAATGCCGCGAGGCCTCAGACAGCTCCGGAGGACCGACGGAACTCCCTCGGCGTCGAGGCGCCGGGCGAGATTCTCGCTTGCAAGCTCAGCTTCAGGCGCCAGGACCCTCGTGGACCGATCCGGCTCAGAAGATCACGCGCGGAGATGGGAGGATTTCGGGGGCCTTGGTCGCCGGCTCTGCTCGCGGTGGGGTGACGGAAGACTCGAGTTCTTGTGTCTGGGATTTGGCTGATGGTGCGGTTCGAAAATTGGCGGGGCCTGGTCTGAAATCTGGCGCGGTCTCCCGCCACAAACTTCTCGCGAAAACTGGCAGGCCAGAATGAATGCCGCGAGGCCTCAGACAGCTCCGGAGGACCGACGGAACTCCCTCGGCGTCGAGGCGCCGGGCGAGATTCTCGCTTGCAAGCTCAGCTTCAGGCGCCAGGACCCTCGTGGACCGATCCGGCTCAGAAGATCACGCGCGGAGATGGGAGGATTTCGGGGGCCTTGGTCGCCGGCTCTGCTCGCGGTGCCGCGGTCTCTCGAGCGACGGCGGGCGTCGGGGGGTCCTGGAGCTTCTGCAGCTCGCTCTGTAGCTGCGCCACGGTGCTCTCCTTCGGGGGGCAGGAGGCGTCCACCACCACCACCACGACCACCAGGACCCGGGCCCACAAGAGAGGAGCCCGTGAGGGCTCGGTGCTGGGCAGCGGCTGCTGGCTGGGCCAAGAGCTGACATGCAGCAAGGCCTGGGCCCAGAGTGGGCCCCTACGGGTGCCAAAAGGTGGTGGTGGGTGCTCTCTCCCTCCGCATCCTTGGTCGCGGCCCTGGCCTCCAGGGACGCGATCTCTCTGCGGCTGAGGCTCAGCATCTTCGTCGTCTCCTGCATGCCGCTGTGCTGCGCCTGGAGATCCATGACTTGGCGCTCCTTCTGCTGGATACTGCTCTCGAGCTCGGCGATCTGCCGACGATTGAGGCTGACGAGCTTCGGCATCTCTCTGTACTTCTCGAGCTCCCGCTGGAGCTGCAACGACTGGCCCTCACAGTCTGCGACCTTGCCCTCCAGCGCAAACACCTCTGCCTGCTCATGCGAAGGGTTGGACTGCACCTTCTTGATCTCGTCCTCCCACTCGGCGACCTCGGCCCTGATCTGCTCCCGCTGCTGGCGGATGATGCTCAGGAACTTCGGCACGGCCTGGGCCGGCAGGCTGGACTTCCTCAGCTCGGCCGCCCACGCCGAGGTCTCCTCCGCGGTCCCCGGCCAGAACGTGGCGAGCGTGGTGCCCCCGTGCGAGACCACCCTCACGGCAGTGCCCGCGTCCGCAACCTCCACCTCCGCGCCCTGCAGCGAGATGATCGTGTCCGCGGAGCCTGGCCGCCTGCTCACCACCAGGACGTCGCCGAGCAGAGTCACGTGCCGATCCGCCTTCAGGAGCCCTCCCGAGACGCGGCACCGGAGGACCCCGAGCGTCTTGGCGACCGCGTTGACGTCGACCTCCACCTGCTGGCGCGGCTCTGGCGCAGAGCCCTACGGTCAGCCCGTAGAATACGGATGCACGATGAGGATGCACGGGCCTTGGAGGCCATGCCGGCACTTTGCAGGCGGGGCGCGGCTCCGGCAAGAAGCCCTACAGCCAACCCGTGAATTAAGCATGCGCGGCAGGGATGCAATGGGCCTTGAAGGGCTATGTGAACGTTTTCGAAAGAGGTTGGCCAGCGAAAGTCGCTGAGGGTGGGCCGAAGGGGCAATGCGGGTTGACTGGATGTGTTGGAGGGGGCCTGGGGGTCCGAACTGCTTGAATCCCAGACATTCGGTCAGGAGGGGGGGATGCGGCCAAATCCGCTAAAAATCGGTCCCTCTTGGGATCCATCTGGTGCAGCCTTTCACCCTGGATCCGATTTGACGGTCCCAGGTCTCAAAAGGCGCCTGGAAGCCGAAATCAACAAAAAACCTTGCCGAAGCTGGAACCCCGAACCTGCCCGCCCTTCTGGCTGGCCTGAGCGACTGCTGGACCACCTCAGACCCTCGGACGGCTCCGACCTCTGCGCACTTTTGACAGGCGCGAAGAAGCTCAGTGGCACGGGGGAGGTTCACTGCCCAAAGAGGGAAGACGTCCAGGGGGAGAGGGAGGAAAATTGGGGTGAACTCGCCCATCCGAGGGGATCTTTGTCAGGCCCGCGACTGGCCTGGGGGACGAGCAGGGGGGAGGAAGGGGAGGTGGAGAAGCAGGGAGTGGGAGGCAGGAGGAGGAGGAGGAGGAGGAGGAGGAGGAGGAGGAGGAGTAGGAGGAAGGAGGAGGAGGAGAGGAGGTTAGGCGAGGAAAGGAGTGAGGAGGAGGAGGGGGAGAGGAGGGGAGGAGGAGGGAGAGGGGGGGCGTGGGAGGAGGGGGAGGAGGGGGGGGGGGAGGAGAGGGGGAGGAGGGAGGGGGAGGAGGAGGGGGAGAGAGGGGAGAAGGAGGTGGAGGGGGAGGAGGAGGGGAGGAGGACTGCGAGCCACCGAGTGGCACGGGGGAGGAGGAGGGGCAGGGGAGGCGGGGGGAGGAGCGCGCCCGCCCGCGCGCTCCGGCGAAGTCGCCGATGCGCGAAGTATAGTCTGGCTCCGACCTCTGTGCACGCGGGCGGGGACCTCTCTCGGGGGCCCTTCTCTGCTGCTGCGTATCCGCCAGCCTCCGCCTCGGCTCGCGGCGAGGCCGCACTCGCCTCATCGTCCACAGCCGAGACATGGCCACCGGGGATCGACCTAGACAGTGTTTTTCGTGTCCGTTTTGTTTTTGCTTTCCCTCCAGTTGTCTTCGATCCGGCTCAGCTGCAAAACGAAATCGAAACGAACACGGCCCACGAAATCGCCTGAACACCGTTTAGGTCGACCCCTGATGGCCACGAGAACGTGTGTCAAGAAACTTGGCCCCATCGCCGACGCCCGACGTCCCGAGGCCCCATGGGGCTGCCCAAAGCGAAGAGCACTCCAAGGTGGAGGGCCCAGCCCAAGGACACAGAACCCGCACAGTCGGCCCGTGCAATATGAGGACGCACGACAAGGACGCAAGGGCCTCGGAGGGCCATGTCGACACTCTGCGGGCGGGGCGCGGCCAGCGAAAGCGACCAATGATGGGCCGACAGGGAAGGATGCAAAGATACTCCAGATGTCGCAAGACAGTTCTTAGCCGTGTCGCGCACGGCTGGGCGCGAAGCTTTCAAAGAGCAAGCTTGAAGCTTCAGCCTTATGCTTAAGCTTGAAGCTTCAGATCTGGTCTGGCTGGTCTGGTTGGACTGGTTTCAGCTTAATCCTGAAGCCTTAGCTTCGAATTCGGGCGAGAGTGGTTTAGGGGAGGTCCAGGTCGGCAGCGCCAACCACTACGACCACCAAAACATAGTGCTGTTGCATTGCAGCTTGTTTTGCTTAGCAGTTGGTTTTGCATTGCAGTTTGTTTTGCATCTGGGCTGGTCTGGTTGGTCTGGTTTCAGCATAGTCCTGAAGCCTTAGCTTAGGATTCGGGCGATAATGGTTTAGAGAAGGTCCAGCGAGGCAGCGCCAACCACTACGACCACCGAAAAGTCAGAAAAACAACTGTTACATTGAAGTTAGTGTTGCACCTGGTCTGGCTGGACTGGTTGACCTGGTTTCAGCTTAATGCTGAAGCCTTCGCTTGGGATGTTTCTGTAGCATTGCAGTTGCTTTGCTTTCCAGTTGTTGTTGCATTCCAAGTGGTGTTGCATCTGGTCTGGCTGGTCTGGTTAGTCTGGTTTCGGCTTAGTGCTGAGGCTTTAGCCTTAGGATTCGAGCGAGAGTGGTTTAGGAGAGGTCCACGGGGGCAGCGCCAACCACTACGACCACCGAGAAACCGTTGCATTGTGTGTGTTTGCTTTGCAATTGTTTTTGCATTGCAGTTTGTTTTGCACCTGGTCTGATTGGTCTGGTTGGAGCTAAGTCTTTGAAGCCTTAACTTGGGGAAGCTTGCGTTGCATCTGGTCTGGCTGGAATGGTTGGTCTGGTTTGAGCTTAATCCTGAAGCCTTAGCTTAGGATGATTTGTGCATTGCAGTTGTTTTTGCTTTGCAATGTGTTTTGCATTGCAGGTTTTTTGCATATGGTCTTGCTGGTATGGTTCGACCCGTTTCAGCTTAGCGCTGAAGCTTTAGCTTCGGACTCGGGCGAGAATGATTTAGGGGATGTCCAAAGAGACAGCGCCATCCATTACGACCACCGAAAAACCATTGTTAGGGGGCATTGCAGTTTGTTTTTGCTTTGCAGTTGGTTTTGCATTGCAGTTTGTTTGCATCTGGTCTTGCTGGTCTGGTTGGTCTGGTTGGTCTGGTTTGAGCTTAGTGCTGAAAACTTAGCTTCGGAGTTTGTTTTGAATTGCAGTTGTGTTTGCTTTGCAGTTGCTTTTGCATTGCAGTGTTGTTGCATCTGGTCTGGCTGGTCTGGCTGGTCTGGTTTCAGCTTAGTCCTGAAGCCTTGGCTGGCTGGTCTGACTGACTGGCTGGTCTGGCTGGCTGTTCTAGCTGGCCTGCTTGGTCCGGGGAGGTTGGCCTGCTTAGTCTGGTCTGGGCTTCGCTGGTCTGAACGGCTAGCTGGTCTGCCTGGTCTTGCTAGTCTGCTTGGTCCTGGAAGGTTGATCTGCTTTGTCTGGTCTGTGCTTCGCTGGTCCGAACGACTGGCTGGTCTGGATGGCTTGGTTCATCTACCTGGCTGGTCTGCTTGGTCTACCTGGCTGGTCTGACTGGACGGTATGACTAGTCTGCTTGGTCGTCGCCGTCGTCCTCGTCTTTGCCCTCGACTTCCTCGTCGTCGTCGTCGTCGTCGTCGTCGTCGTCGTCGTCGTCGTCATCGTCCTGCCCCTTGCGTCGCCGCAGCCGGGGCTGGGAACGAAAGCGCTGCTGCGTCAAGCCCGGCTGCGGCGGAAAGGGAGGTGGGAAGCGGGGGAACATCAGCAGCCATAACAGTTCTTACGCCCAAAGCAAAGTAAGGCGCTAGGGCATAAGAACTTTTCGCCTCGAGCGGCATAGAATGAAAGGAAGGGGGGTTCACAACCCTTCCAGACGGGCAGTTTTAGACCCCCCCAAACAAGCGATGAAAGGGCGGCCTTTTGCACAGACCCAGTGGAACCCCCAAAGACAGCTGAAATCAGACCCCCCCCCTCCGAATCAGACCACCCCTCCTTTGTTGTGAAATCCGGGGTAAGTTTGGAAAATTGCTCATCCTTACTATACGCGGCTTGACGGTACAGGGGCACCCTTCCAAGGCTGGGTATGCTCTCCACCCTCCCCTGTGATCCGACGTAGCGAAAGCATGGCAGCATCGTAAAAAACACGCCGAGAGCCCTAGACCCCATCTTTCTGCGCCAATTTGTTTCGAGCTGGATCGATCTGTCAGGGCCCCGGGGTCAAAACACAAAAAACGAAAACGCCCGGCTCGGAAAAATTGAGACGCCAGGATCTCAGGGCCAGCTGCACCCCCGCTAGCCTCCGCGGGCCCCCGCTACCCCCCCCCCCCAGCCCCAGCCTCCAGGGCCACGGGGCCTCGCTTCTCCGACGCCCCATGAGGCTCGACTTCTCCGAAGCGCGGCCCCGCGGGCCCGGCCCAAGACCGGCCCCCGGCAGGCCCCATGCGAGCGACGAATTCGGCGGCGAGCGAGGGGGAAGTGACCCTGAGATCCTGGCGACTCGATTTTATCGGGCCAAGCGTTTCCGCATGAGTTCGGGCCCCAGGGCCCTCGCAGACGGATCCGGCTCGAAACATGGTACAGAAAGATGGAGTCTAGGGCTCAAGGCATGATGTTTACGATGTTTCAATGTTTCGACACGTCGGATCTCAGGGGAGAAGAAGAAGGCCCTCTCAGAAGGCGGCGGGGCTTCTGAGAAGCCCTCGGGCCTTGCGACAAGTTTCCTCCGCCTTCGGGGAAGGCTCAGAAAACTTCTCGGAAGGCCAGCGGGGTTTCCGAACCTCCTGAGGGGGACCGCCCCCTCTCACGTCCCCCCCAGGCTGGCCGCCGCGAAAAGAAACGGGCCTTACGCGAGATGGCACAGCGACCTTTCGCGGTGGCTTACGCGGGCCGCCAGCGCGGCACGCCACACTGGAGACGAAGGCGCTCACGCGCGACCTTACGCGGGCAGCTCACGCGCCAATGTCGGTGAAGACGACCCAGTTGCGTTGCGCCGCTCCTGTGGCCCCATGGGTTGGCGAAGGCCGGGCCGCCTCAACTCGTTCATAAGCTACCTGAGCCCGCGAACGGCCCCTGGAGGCAGGAGAAAAAACCGAACAGCACCTGCTCAGAGCTGTTTGCCCTGCGCTTGCTGCGAGGCAGGGATACTAATATTCACCACATGTGGAACCGACGTCGTGGGATTCCAGCGGGAGGTGGCTATAGATATATTTCCCTGAGTTCCGACGTAGCAAAAAAAATACAACGTCGACAAAGAACACGCCCAGAGCCCTAGAACTCATCTTTCTCCGTCATCATTCGAGCTGGATCGATCTGTGAGGGTCCTGGGGCCCGGAAAAAGCAAGAGAACGCCCGGCTCGAAAAAACGGAGACGCCAGGATCTCCAGGGTTTGGCCCCAGAGGGCCCGATGCTGTCCATGTCCACCGCCTGCCGAGGTCCCCGAAGCTTGATCCCCCCCAGTCGGTGGCCAGGCGTGTCAATCCCCACCTCGTGCGTGCGGGCAGGCAGGGCGGGGAAGGCAGGGGAGGGGGAGGGGGAGGGGGAGGAGGAGGGGGAGGAGAAGGAGGAGGAGGAGGAGGCTCTGTGCATATGTCGTGTTCCTTTTTCTTCTCACCTTCCCTAGGAGAGGCTGCGAACCCATCGGCCTTCAGTCTGCGAGCGAGCGAGCGAGGAAGAGGAGTCCCGCCTCTCTGCTCTGCCTCGCGACGTGGCTGCACTGCGCGATCGACCCTGCGCCCAGCGCGGCGCCGGCGGCGACCACGGCGATCGAGACGGACGCCATCGTGGGCGGCGGGGGGAGAAAATGCCGCGGCGGGTCGCGAGGGGCGAGAAGGTGCCGTGCAGTCGCGAGGGCTGGCGAGCAACAAATCCTGCGGACCGAAGGCTCGGGAGCCGAGGTCTTTCGGCCTCCGAGGCCTATTTTTTGCCAAGGCCCCGTGGCCCCTCAGGAGTCGCTGAGGAGTGGGCACAAGGAACCTGGCCTTGATGGACCCCGAAAAGGACCCAGAGACTGGAGCTGAACGGATTATGAGGGGAGCCTGTGTTTTCCGGCTTCAGCACGGGAGGGAGGAGGAAGCAGCAGCAGCAGCAGCAGCAGCAGCAGCAGCAGCAGCAGCAGCAGGAGCAGCAGCAGCAGCAGCAGCAGCAGCAGCAGCAGCAGCAGCAGCAGCAGCAGAAGAGAGAAAGAAAAGGCCCAGATAGATTATCGCGCTGCGCACCTGCGCCCTTGCTCCGCAAGTGCGCGTCGCCGAAGCGGCGCTCGGAGTGGCGACGCGCGGAGAATGCAGGAGGCATCATATTCGGCCCCCCCGGGGCGGGGACCTCCAGATCGGGGCGAGATTGACGCGCTCTTCGGCTACACACAAGAATTATTTTGGGTAAGAGTGGCCTGTGGTGCGCAGCTTTTTGGAGGCCGAGGGGAGACCAAACACAAGCGCGCACGGCGGTACTACCGCATCGCGTTCGGCGATCGTACTGGGCCCGCACCAAAGGTCACTCCGGCGAAGGGTCCCTCTTACGTGCAGTCGATCTCTCTCCAGCAGCACCGACCCTGCCGCAGCCCGAGGGCGACGGAGCCCGGCAGCGACGTGCCCGCGCTGCATCTGGCGCATGCGCTCGCGTGGGAGGCGGGTGCACCAGCTTGCACACGGGCACCGACCCCAGCCAGGCCAGCCCTCGGCCCCTGGCCAGGCATGGCCCCGCCAGAACGGCAGGTTCCTGCGGTGACGGCGTGGGCCTTGGCCAGAGTCTTGGAGAGCGGCCTCCGTCCCAGAGACCCTGGCGACTCAATTGTTTCGAGCCGGGCGGTTTCGCATAATTTCCGGCCGCAGGACCCTCGCAAATGGATCTGGCTCGAAAAATGACGCAAGAACATGGGATCTGGGGCTCCCGTCGTGATTTTTCACGATACCTCTTTTTTGACGAGACGTCGGATCTCAGGGTCGACCTCCGTCGCCGGCAGACCCAACGCGCCGGATCGGCACGGCGGGCTCGTGTTCGTGACGACCTGGGCGCTTCACACATGGGGGGGCGCCCTCTTGCCGAGCCTTCGCCCAGCGACATGCTGGTAGCAGTTGCAGGGCAGGGCGACGGCGGAAACCGGCGCAGGGAAGCAGAAGCGAGGAGGGGGCAGAAGGGAGGAAGAGGAAAGGAGGAGGAAGGAGCGAGAAATAGCGGTGCCCCAGTCTCGTGCCCCTCTTCTGTTGTCCCCTTTTTCTTGCACGTTTCCGTGCCCGTCCGGGCTTTCTCGGCGGCGCCTGCACCGTGGGAATGCGCACACGCCACCGTAAACGTCAGAAAACAAACTACCATCAAGTCAGGCCACGGGCGCGCGAACATGGCATAAGAATACGCACGTGATTGCGTGCGCTGCCATGGCTGGGTTGACAAGGCGCTCACCCTGTACGCCCCCATGCGTTGCTGGACGCCCCACGTGTACTGGCTGTGGGGGCGCGGCCGACAGGACTAGGCCCTGCCCCTCGCAAACAACGGTACGGGCCCCCCTGAGATCCGACGTCTCGGAAAAAAACTGAAACATCGCGAAAAATCACAACTGGACCCTGGACCCCGTCCTTCTGCGCCCTTTTTCGAGCCGGATCCGTCTGCGAGGGCCCGAAACTGGTAGGAAAAACGCCTGGCTCGAGCGACTGCGCGGACCCTTCCGCGGCCACTGCCGGCCCGCCGCAGAGCGGCGCCTCCGCACGCAGCCCCTGCCCCTCCGCGCACGGCTGCACGGGCCCCAGCCAGGCGGGCCGCGGGCTGCAGCACTGGCCGGCGGAGACGGCAGCGGAGGGCCCCTGCCGGCGACGGCCACAGGGCCCTTCGCGGCCCGCCTCTGCTGGCCCGCCGCGGAAACTTCGCCTCCGCCGTAAGGGGCCCCCGAGGAGGCCGCCCGCGGACGGCGGGGGAGGGGGCTCACGCCACCTCAGACGTGCTCGCGTCGTGAGCCAAAAGCACGATATCATATCCTCCTCCTCCTCCTCCTCCTCCTCCTCCTCCTCCTCCTCCTCCTCCTCCTCCTCCTCCTCCTCCTCCTCGGCTGCCTCGGAGGGGCCCTGAGGGCCCCAGGCAGCCTGAGGGAGGGGGGGGGCATGGCGGGGGGGTGATGTTGACATGCAGCGTGGGGCCCTTGCGCCCCAGGACCCAGCCGCCTGCTATACCAAGAGAGGCCGCCCCCCCTTCACCCTGGCAGCCATAGCTCTCAGCCCGCCGAGCGGAGGATCGAGCAGGGAGCGGAGGGTCGAGCAGGGGAGGGAGGGCCAGAGAATCCTGGGCGCAGCCCGTAGTCTGCCGCGCCCTCATTTCCGCGCACCGCTCTTTGCCTTGCGGCCTGTGAAGAGAGGCCGCCGGCCGCGCCCTCGCGTGCGGAAGCAGCGCCCGGGACGCCCCAGCCTGCCGCCGCCAGGCACCCGCTGGACCACGAGGCTCAGGGAGCCTGCCGCCCCCGGACCCCCTCCTCCGCGCGCCCGCGGGCGCCCGTCTCCACCCACGGGGCCTCCGCGACTCCCTCCGCCTCCAGCGCGTCCACCTCCAGCTCCCCCAGGGCGGCCCAGAAGGCCGCGCGCTCCAGCGCGTGCTGCCCCTTCTGCTCCGGGGGCCACGCCGAGCGGACCACCTCGACGACCCCGCGGCCGCGCCGCACCCGCTGGGCCCAGACCCCGGCCGGCGGGGCTCGGCGCCGACTCATGCTGACGGGGACTCCACCAACAGGCACTCCGGCCAGCCAGCGGCCGAGAACGCACGCAGCCCTTCCCCGCGCGGGCAGTTCCCAGGAAACCCGTCACCATGAGATCCGACGTGGCAAACAAAAAACAGCATCGACAAAACAATCAGGACCCGAGCCCTGGACCCCATCGTCCGGCGTCATGTCTCGAGCCGCATCGATCTGCGATGGCCCTGGGGCCCGAAGCCTGGCGAACACACCCCGTGCGCTAGCAAAACTTGCAACGCCTGGATCTGAGGGTTGGTGACTACCGCACACCCCCCACGGTGCTGCCGACGGGCCCGGCGAGGCGGCCAGCCGGACGCCCCCCGCTCTGCTCCCGCACGCGCCTGCGGCGCTCCTGCACCCGCGCCACGGCCTCGGGCGACAGGGCGCCCTTCGTCTTCTTCTTGCCGCCCTTCTTCGGCCCGCCGGCCGCCTCGGCCTCGGCTGGGGCCCGTCCACGTGGCCACCGCCTGGAGGGTCGGTCTCCGGGGGCCCAGAGAGGCGGTGGCGATGTGGCCGCTCCCGGCAGCCCTGGACCTGCGAGGTGTGCCACCTCTCGCGGGCGCATGCCCTGCTTCCGCCGGACTCCACTGGCCCTCCGCCGGGCTTCCGCCGGCGGAGGTGCCCCCGATTTGCGTCCGCCCGCCGCCTTCCGCCGGCCTGGCGCCACCCTCCGCCGAGGAAGAGACGGCAACTCCTTCGATCTTCGACGGCGAGGCCTTTTCCAAAGCGCCCCACACGGATTTGTTCGGGCCGGACTACGGTCGGGAGCCCTTGCTTGGCGCGTCGCCACGGCGGCCTCGGCGACACGCTATGCCCTGTAAGCAGATATCGTCTCGCTCTGCTCCGCGGGGCGGGAGGCTGGGAAGAACTGGAGGCTGGGAAGAATTCGAGACGTTGACGCCTGGGGACTGGGAACTGGGGCGCGAAGCGACACGCTAAGCCAAATGTCCCGACCCCACGCAAGTGGGGAAGCTCCTGACCGTATACCCAGGCCCACCGCCTGCCGAGGTCCCCGAAGATCGACTCCCCGGGCGGTGGTTGTGGACGACCCCCCGCCTCGGATGATGAACCCAAAAAGGACCCATCACCCTTTGGCAGGGGACCTAAGTTAGGAGGGCCACGAACATTAGGGATAGGGCGCCTTTTTCTGGAAATGTATCGAACCAAAGCGCCCAGATTTACTATCCCTAATGCAAAGACGGGGACCTCAGTGAGGCCACGTCTTCATCGTTTTAGAAGGGTTGGGGTTAGGTCAGGCGTCCCCCCACAGGCGGGTTTTGGACGAAAACCTAAAAATCCCCCACAAAAATCAAAAACAAATCAATTACCCTGTGACGTACCCAACCCTTTCTATACATGTGGCGATTCTGCTCAAGACCACTCAATGCTGACTGACCACTCAGTGCCTCCGCTGGGCCTCCCAGGAGCCCACGAAAGTGCCGACAGCTGGGCAGATCGCAAGCCCATCCAGGGTGCGGCGAGGTCCTGAGGTGGTCCGTGTATGACGTATACCTCCGCTGGGCCTCCCAGGAGCCCACGAAAGTGCCGACAGCTGGGCAGATCGCAAGCCCCCCAAGTGGCAGCGAGGTCCCGAGGTGGTCCGCGTATGACGTATACCTCCGCTGGGCCTCCCAGGAGCCCACGAAAGTGGCGACAGATGCGCAGATCGCAAGCCCCCCAGGGGGGCGGCGAGGTCCCGAGGTGGTCCGCGTATGACGTACCTCCGCTGGGCCTCCCAGGAGCCCACGAAAGTGCCGACGGTTGCGCAGATCGCAAGCCCATCCACGGGGCGGCGAGGTCCTGAGGTGGTCCGTGTATGACGTATACCTCCGCTGGGCCTCCCAGGAGCCCACGAAAGTGGCGACAGATGCGCAGATCGCAAGCCCCCCAGGGGGCGGCGAGGTCCCGAGGTGGTCCGCGTATGACGTACCTCCGCTGGGTCTCCCAGGAGCCCACGAAAGTGCCGACGGTTGCGCAGATCGTCAGCCCATCCAGGTGTGCGTCACCGAGGTCCTGAGGTGAGTCCGTGTAGGGACGTGATGACACCTCCGCTTGGACTTCCCAGAGCCCACGACAAGTGCCGCACAGCAGATCGCAGGAGTCGCAAGCCCCAGGGTGCGGCGAGGTCACGCGTGAGTGTCCGCGTATGTGACCGTACCTCCCGCTTGGCCTCCCAGGAGCCCACGAAAGTGCCGACAGATGCGCAGATCGCAAGCCCCCCAGGGGGCGGCGAGGTCCCGAGGTGGTCCACGTATGACGTACCTCCGCTGGACCTCCCAAGAGCCCACGAAAGTGCCGACAGATGCGCAGATCGCAGCCCCCCAGGGCACCGCGAGCTATAGTGGTGATCTGCGTATGACGTACCTCCGCTGGGCCTCCCAGGAGCCCACGAAAATGCCGACAATTTCGCAGATCGCAGCCCCCCAGTGCACCGCGAACTATAGTGGTGATCTGCGTGGGACGTACCTCCGCTGGGCCTCCCAGGAGCCCACGAAAGTGCCGACAATTTCGCAGATGGCAGCCCCCCAGGGCACCGCGAACTATAGTGGTGATCTGCGTGGAACGTACCTCCGCTGGGCCTCCCAGGAAGCCACGGAAGTGCTGACAGATGCGCAGATCGCAAGCCCCCCAAGGCACCGCGAGCTATAGCGGTGATCCGCGTGGGACGTACTTCCGCTGGGCCTCCCAAGAGCCCAAGAAAGTGCCGACAGATGCGCAGATGGCAGCCCCCCAGGGCACCGCAAGCCATAGCGGTGATCCGCGTGGGACGTACCTCCGCTGGGCCTCCCAGGAGCCCACGACAAAGCCGACAATTTCGCAGATCGCAGCCCCCAGGGCACACGCGAGCTATGGTGATCGCGTGGTACGTACCTCCGCTGGGCCTCCCAGGAGCCCACGAAAGTGCCGACAATTTCGCAGATGGCAGCCCCCCAGGGCACCGCGAACTATAGTGGTGATCTGCGTGGGACGTACCTCCGCTGGGCCTCCCAGGAAGCCACGGAAGTGCTGACAGATGCGCAGAACGCAAGCCCCCCAGGGCACCGCGAGCTATAGCGGTGATCCGCGTGGGACGTACCTCCGCTGGGCCTCCCAGGAGCCCAAGAAAGTGCCGACAATTTCGCAGATGGCAGCCCCCCAGGGCACCGCAAGCCATAGCGGTGATCCGCATGGGACGTACCTCCGCTGGGCCTCCCAGGAGCCCACGACAAAGCCGACAATTTCGCAGATCGCAGCCCCCCAGGGCACCGCGAGCTAGTGGTGATCCGCGTGGGACGTACCTCCGCTGGGCCTCCCAGGAGCCCACGAAAGTGGTGACAGTTGCGCAGATCGCAGACGGCACGAGAGAAGAGGAGAAGAGAACACAGGAGACAGGAGAGAAGGAGGAGAGGAGGAGAGGAGGAGGAGGAAGTGGAGACCACACTGCTCTATTTTAAACGAAAACCCAACACAGGAGGGTTGGGAAAAATAGTCGAAAAATCGTCTCCATACGATTTTTTTCTATTTTTGAATAAGCCCCCTGTAGAGGGACATGCCCGACTTAAGGTTAGGGGCTCTGCGTGCTCGATGACCGGACCTCGGGCTCAACAGCCGGGGCCGCCTCGGCCCCCGCCGCGGCCCGCTCGTCGAGCTCGTCGAGCTCCGCCGCGAGTGCCGCGCACGCCGCGCCGTGGGAGGCCTCCAGGCGCTCCAGCCGCCCCAGCAGTGACCGGCGCTCCTCCTCGCCGAGCCTCGGCGCGGGGCTCGGCGCGAAGACGGCCGCGACCGGCAGGTGGTCGCTCGTCGGCGGCGCGCCGGAGGAGGGGGGGGGGAAGAACATTTGTGGAGTTTCGGGTTCGAGGTTCGAGGTGTTCGGGCGTTTTCGTAGTTAAGTTCTCGGCGGTTTCCAGCCTCGGGATGCGATCCAGCGGCTCCGCCTCGCCAAGAGGCGTCCAGGGGTGCCCGGATCGTCTCGCAAAGCTGATGGAGACCCAAGTTATGACCTGGAAATCAGACGACGAGGATCATTGACATGCCTTCTCAAGGGCGGCGAGGCCACTCAGAAACCATCTCGCCTTCCGAGATGCCATCTCTGTGGCTTCGGAAAGGCCTACATCTCTGCTTAGAGCTGAAAAAATGTTACGCTAAGAACATGGGCTTTACTCCAAGCGTTTTCTTAAACAGTAGCCCAGGTCCAGATACACGAATGTTCTACGAAGAAAGCAGGCTCCAAGAACACGCCCAGGGTCCACTCCAGATTCTTGGCTTTCTTGACTGGAGCCTGGAGCCCATGAAAATCGATTAATATCTCAAGATGCCCGACGGGTGTAGAGAGCTCCTCGAAAGGCCGGAGGGCTTCTGCTGAGAAGGCCTACCCCCTCTGCCCTCTCAACTGGGCGCGCCGCCGCGCTCGGGCAGCTCTCGTTGGGCAGCCCCCTGGCTGCGCTCGCGGGATCGCCCTCCAGCGCTTGCCACGACGAGCGCAGCCGCAGCGTGCGCGCCGTGTAGTAGATGTGGTCCAGGCGCCAGGAGACGCAAGGGCCGCACGTCTTGCCGTGATCGTAGGCCGCCCTGGTGGGACCGGTGACGACGTGCGAGAAAGCCACGCGATACTCCCTGCACAGCGAGACCGCTCTGTCCCGCAGGGCTGCGAAATCCTTGAGCTGCTGCTCCGTGGGCCCGTCCGTCGTCTGAGCCGCCGCGGCCGCCGTGCACTCCTCTGGCGCGTCTGCCCCCTCGGTGGGCTCCCCGCCACCAATGCGCAGTGCAGAGGCGCACTCGCGCAAGTGGTCCTCATCCGTGGGGTCCCCGCAGTCTACGTCCATCGCCCCGATGCACGAGCCCGGCAGACACTCGGTGTTAAAGTCCCCGGCGACGACGACCTCCCGCGTGCCCATCTGGCGAGCGTGGGCGAGGCACCTCTTCATCTGCTCCACGCGCTTCTCCTCGGACGTCGCGTCCAGGTGGACGGAGAACACCGCGGTGGGCCCAAGGGAGCCCAGCCCGCCTGGACCGCGGCCCCGGAGGCAGGCGCCCACGAGGGTATTCGCGAAGCGCGAGGCCGACGCCTCGTCGACCTCCTCGAGGCGGTCGTGCCGGTACATGACGACGCAGCCGATCGCGACCTCGGCGTCCAGGACGCGCAGGTTCCGCTCCGCCATCTGCTGTAGTGGCCCCTCGCTAGGCAGGCGCGGCGTGTAGCCCTCCTCTTCCGCGAGCTGGCACAGCCACGGCGGCAGCACGAAGCGGGCGGCCCCGCCGGCGCCCGTGCGCTCGAACTGCACCTCCTGCAGGCACAAGACGTCGGCCCTCGCCGCCCGCAGCTCGGCCAGCAGCCGGGGCCTGCGCGCGTCCCAGGCCAGGACCTCCCGGGCAGGCTCCGCCCACTCGAAGGCGGCCCACGGCTGGACGCCCCCCGTCCGCTTATCGAGGGGGCGCACGACGGGCAGAGGAGCAGAGAACGGCACAGGCAGAGGTCTGCGGAGGCCCGCGCGGGTGCCTTCGGTCGAGGCCGGGCAACCCTCCTCACGCACCTTCCACGGCGCGCAGAACTCGGGCGTCGCTTACGGAGGGGGCGCCAAAAAGAGGGGGGGGGAGGGAGGTGCATTTCGGCCATCAAGGGCCCCTTTGCTGCAGCCCCTCGTTGCCCCCCCGCCCCCCCTTTCTCGCCCCCCACCCCCAATTACGCGACGCCCACAAGAAGGGTTCTTAAAAGCCGCTTGGCCCCAGGCCCTTCCACGAAGGCCCCTGCCATCTGAGCAGCCCCCCCCCGCCGTACAAGACCACCCCCCTCACGCCACACCTCTTTGCGGGCGCCGCCGGATTCGATTGCTGTGCCGTGCCGGTGTCTGCACTTCCGGAAGAGGGGGGCCAGGACGTTGTAGGTCAGGACGGGCCAGGGCGCGAGCAAAACATCGTGCTTGTTTAGGGCACAACTTGCGTTCAAAGCTAACCCTGGCGAAGAGCCCAACACATGCTACACGCGTGGAAACAATCAGCAGAACCGCTCAATGCACAAGAACTCGTCAGGGTGTTCCGCAGTACCCATTCCACTGGGGCATTCGGTAGAACTCCCCATGGGGCCACGAATCGGCCACGAAGCGTGTGAGGGGTGTGCCTACATGGACCCAAGTACGCGTGCGTGCCCTGCCACTGGAGCCTTCGATGGGGCTTTCTATGGGACCACAGAAAGTGTGAGGGGTGCGCCATGATGGACCCGAGTACGCATGCGGGCCCTGCCACTGAGGCCTTCGGTGGAGCTCACGTGTGGGGGTGTGCAAAATTGCAACCGAGTGCGCATGCGCGCCCTGCAACTGAGGCCTTCGGTGAAGCTCCCTGTGGGGCCACGAAGCGTGCGAGGGGTGTACCGAAATACACCCGAGTGCGCATGCGGGCCCTGCCACTGAGGCCTTCGGTGGAGCCCCCTGTGAGGCCACTAAACGTGTGAGTTGAGTGCCAAAATGCACCCGAGTACGCATGCGGGCCTTGCCACTGGAGCCTTCGATGGGGCGCCCTGTGGGGCTACGAAACATGTGAGGGGCCTGCCAAAATGCACCCGAATACGCATGCGGACCCTGCCACTGGGGCCTTCGGTGGAGCTCCGTACGGGGCCACGAAACGTGTGAGGAAAATGCCAACATGGACCGGAATACGCATGCGGGCCCTGCCACTGAGACCGTCGGTGGACCTCCCTCTGGGGCCACAAAACGTGTGAAGTGGTGTGCCAAACTCGACCCGACTACGTATGCGACCCCTGCCACTGGAGTCTTTTGGTGGACCTCCCTATAATTCCACGAAGCGTGTGTGGGGGGGCCAAACCGAGCGCCGAAACGGTGATGAGAATGATAACGGTGAAAATGGCAAGAACTACGATGATGCCAAGAACGGCGATGATGATGGTGAAGATCACGATGATGATGACAAGGATGCGGAGGAGAAGGAGGGCGCGGAGGAGAATGAGAAGGAGGAGATGGGGCGCGGCGCTGCGAATTCAAAACGAGGACCCAACACACTTTCCGTCGGCGGCGAGGCAGCATGTGCTGCACCAGCGGTAGAGCTAGACGGGAGTACGAAAAAGCGAATTGGCCAGCAAGGAAGAGTGGGAAGAGGGCAGAGCAGGCGGCAGCGGGAGGGGGAGGAGGAAAAAGGCCACTCGGAGGTGGAAGAGTTCTCACGAGGACCCAACAAACTGGAGAATCTGGGAACAACGGCGCAACCACCAAAACAACCCGTTTCGTTCCAAACCGCCGCCCGCAGAAAACGAAAACCAACCGGGCGCAGGACCCAAGCAGTTGCATCCGCGAGCATCGCGCCGCAGGTGAGAAAAAGGATGGGGGGGCGAAGGGGCGACATGGGCGATGGGGCGCGTGTGATTCCTGCCACTGGGGCCGTCGGTGAAGTGCCATATGGAGCCACGAAGCGTGTGAGGGGTGTGCCGAAAAGGGGCGGGTACCGCATGCGAGCCCTGCCACTGGGGCCTTCGGTGGACCTCTCAATGGGGCCTCGCAACGTGCGAAGGGTGTGCCGAATTGGGGGCGGGTGCCGCATGCGAGCCCTGCCACTGGGCCTTCGCTGGACCTCCATGTGAGGCCACGAAACGTGTGAGGGGTGTGCCGAAATGGAAGCGGGTTCCGCGTGCGAGCCCTGCCACTGGGGCCTTGAGTGGAGCTCCAGGGGGGGGCCACGAACAATGTAAGGGATGTGCCCAAATGCACCCGAATACGCACGCGGGCTTTACCACTGAGGCCTCTGGTGAAACCCCCTGTGGGGCCACGAAACGGGTGAAGGTTGCTTCGGCATGGAGCGGCAGCGAGTACCGCATGCGAGCCCTGCCACTGGGGCGTTCCCTGGAGCTTCGTATGGGGCCGCAAAACGTGCGAGGGTGTGCCGAAATGGCAGCGGGTACCGTATGCGACCCCTGCCACTGGGGCCGTCGGTGGGCCTCTCGATGGGACCACGAAACGCGTAAGGGGTGTGCCGAGTTGGGGGCGGGCACCGCGTGCGAACCCTGCCACTGGGGCCTTCGGTGGACCTCCCTGTGGGGTCACGAAACGTGTGAAGGGGTGTGCCGAATTGGAGGCGGACACGGCGTGCGAATCCTGCCACTGGGGCCTTCGGTGGACTTCCTTATGGGGCCACGAAACGTATGAGGTGTGCGCCGACATGGCGCGGACCAGGCACGCGGGCCCATGATTGTCAGCCTCAAGTGGTGCTCCCCCCCAGACGGGGCCATGAAACGCGCGAGGGGTGTGCCGAAGCGGACACGCGGAGGGCAGAGGCAGGCACGAGAGGAAGGATGGGGGGGAGCATGAGCACGACCTGCGACGCGGGTCTTTTCCGCGCCGCACAACGCGACGCCCGACAGGCGGCTCTCAGTGTATGAAAAGAAAAAAGAACAGCCACCCCGTCGACAGCAGCAGCGCGGGCGGCCAGGTGCACGCCACACTAGTTGTTATCCCTCCTGAGGTTCCGCAACCATAAGTAGATGATGTCGCAGAGGACGACGCGCTGGACGGCCGTCGACAGCGAGGGCCCCCCATCCTCGTCACAGCGGACCCCAACTCCCAGACGAGCCAACACAGTAGGCTGGGCGTGGGCGCGCGGGAGACAAGAGACGTGTAGGTAGCGGCCGGTGGACTCGGATTCGCCTCCGCAGCCGAATTTGCACTTGCCGACCTCAGGGGTTGCGTGCATCTGCGAGCTCGCGTGCCATCCACCAGCCAGAGCACGGAGGAGTGGCCATCTCCATGAGGGTGGGATTCCCAAGGTCGCCACCTTCAGCTTCGTCAATTTCGCTGGAGGTCACGCGGCGCTTCCTCATCCTTCAGCCAGGATGCCAGCCTTCTGTTGAGCACCACCTCGAAGCTGCCCTTCATCCAGTGAAACTCCAGATAGCGCATGAAGAAACGTTCTAGGTTTTGCCTGGTCCCGTTCACGAACGCGTCCTTGACCGCGTGATGAACTATGACAGCAGAATGTGTTAGGTCACGATGCCAGTGGCTCGGGACACCGATGGCAACTCCTCTGATGATCGCCTCGAGGCGCTGTGCAATGGGTAAGGGCTCACACCAAAATGAAAGCGAACATCTCCCCGACAAGCCCACAAGTAAACTCGAACAACGCAAAGAACCGCGGGCAGAGCGGGCGCCATTGATTATGTGAACGGCGCTGTCCCCCACATGGTTCCCAAGGTGTAGGTAAAGATCGGTATTGGCGCTGGGCCTGGCATTATATTGCTGACCGAATGGGAACCGATGGCGCGCAAAGTGCCTGGTGGCATACGAAGGACTGCGGGCAGCGTGAATCACCCTGCGCAGCAGGGGCTAGGGCACCTCGACGAAGTGCGCCAGGTAGCCGAGGACCGTGATAGCTGATGTTTGACAAGCCGCGCAGTCGCGTCAACCGGGGCCGACGAGGCGCCAATGGCCACAAATCTTTGCCACGCAGCAGACCTGGCCGCCGACCGTTGCACTTGGCGGTCAGCAGCTGAACCAACCTGAACACCAAGGTAGGCTCATTCAGCAGCAATCACGGCGCGAACCCGCTCGGGGAGGTTGGCGCGCAGGAAAGGCTCGACCGCAACGCGCGCCTCGTCGGGGAGCTCGGCCCTGGGCGGGGTGATCGCATGTTTCGGTTTGCGCAGAAGGTTGCCTTCGACCTCGGCCTTGTGGAAGACTCCTGAGATCGGCGCGAGAAGATCTATCTACTGCAAGAGGACACCCTGGTCGTCGGCGCATGCCGCCGCAGACCCAAAACCGGACGTAAGGAATACAGGATAAACAACCCGAATGATGAAGTCCACCCCGACCACCCAGACGGCGCCCAAGAAGGGGCACCCCTGCGCCGCGACAGAGTCGGAGGGGCAGACAAAACGGCACATGCCATGAAACACTGTGGAACCAGTAGTCAGGTCGAAGAACGCTGCCACTGCGTTGAGAAAGCCCCGCTCGCATTGAGATCGACGCAAAGCGACGACCAGCCGCTGCGTGCCCGGGGAGGGGAACGATGCAACGACGCCGAAGAGCATCGAAGCTGGACGATCCTCCGCAGATGCCAGGCTCCATCCTGACAAGCGCGCCATTGCGCCCATAAGGACTACGTCGTTGCGGACGTTGCGGTATCCGACGAAACCTTGCTGCGAGCGATGGGGGCGCCCCTCCACCTGGGCCCTCATCTGGTGACTGCGGGCAGCAGCGAAGATCTTGGAGCGCGCGGCATTGCGCAAGATCAGGCGCAAGTTGGCTGGCTCTCGAGCACCTGTCTGTATACTGCGCCACTGGGACCAAAGAAAAGTCGAATCGTTTGGCGCGGGCGGAGCATGGCGCCGCGCAGAAGCAGGGCCACGCGAGCTCCTCGAATACCTCCAGGGAGCTGCACGATTCCACCCAAGTCCACTAGGAAAGGGACCTGGACCAAGCGCCGACGCACGGGCTGCGTTGTCACGCGCTCCGCTCTCTCTGCCGACGGCGCGGCGACATTCGCAGGGGTCGCGCGAGGCGGCGCGTACTGCACTGCGCAGCCCCGCAAGCAATCCTCGCCGACCTCCTTATGCGCACAGATGGATAACCACTGCGTCTGCGATGCCTCCACTTGCACCTCTCGAGGCGAGGCGATCGCTGCGGCGTCGTTCGGGCGGGTGCTGGCAAGAGCGACCGCGCTTGCAAGCGGGGCGCGCGATCGGCTGCGCTTCTGCGTGGTGCGCGAGGGGCGCCGCTGGCGGCCAGCCTTCGCGTTGCGCCCCGCCCGGCGAGCTCGCTGGGCAGCAGCGGCGGCGCTTTCTTGGCGGCGCGAAAGTGGCGGTGAACTGTCTTCGCATCCTTGGCACACTTGCGTTTCTGCACCATCGATACTTTGTGATCCTGCATCCTCAATGACGTTTCACCATTTCTGCCGCAGATTGCGGCGCGCGTGTCAGCGCAAGATCTCGGCGCCACGTGACCCTCAACACTGAGGGCCACGCAAGTGAGTCCGCTCTGACAGAGCCTCGGCGCCTTCTACCAACAGGAATGTCGGTTAATTCTTTGCGCGTCAGGCGGACGGCCTCAGTCATGACGTGCTTGTCGCTCCTGCGCCTACTCGCGGGCGGGATCTCCATCTAGCCTCGAGCGCAAAGCGGGAAACTCTGCGTTCTCCTGGCATAACGGGAATTGGGGCAGGAAGCCGGGGACGGGCTGGACACGTTCGTTATTTCTTGTTGCCCCCGGGGGGAGGGGGCGGCGCCGATGGGGGCGGCGAGAGCCGCGTGGTCGCCCGGCCTAAGGTCGCAGGGAAGAGCAGGCTCCGCGACCGCAGCAAGCGTCATCTTTAGAGTCGGCTAGTGGCACGCATGCAGGCTGCAGAAGATCCAAGTGACCCCGGCTTTCTCGCGGGTGCGCGTATCGAATCACGCGAGTGCACCATTGCTGATCTCCGCCATTGAGTTGAAGAGACCACGCCAAAATGACCGTTGATGCCGAACGCCGCCCATGCGGCTCAGGACCAGGGGATGAGGCGCAGCGAACGACCCGGCTGGTCCATCATGGAATCATGGATGCTAACACCGCCGAGGGCGAGGACGAGCCAGTCCAGAGGCGACGTTTGCGCCAAATTCCTATGCCGCCCTGTGCAGCGGCATGAAGTTCTCGACGCCGTTCCGGCTCAAGCTCGAAGATGTGGCTGCTGAGAATGACCGCCATGCAGATACCCCCCGCGATGTACTCGACAGCTTGCGCCCCACCAGGACCGAGGGGGCGGCGGGCCAGAACCGCACTCGATGTTGAAGCAGCAGACGCGCGCAGCTGCCTCGGAAGTGCAGGGGCCAATTCGGATGCGGTCATTGCAACTCTGACATTATGGAGGCCTCCTAGATTGGGTCGGGGTAGACGGGGTCGGAGGATCACGCCGCACCGGCGATGCATCGGCGATGCGTCGGCGATGCACCAACGATCCATCGCCGACGTGGGCGATGCATCGGCGACGTCGACGCGAAGCAAATCGGGCTCCACATCGAGCCGCGTCGCCGATGCATCGGCGACCCAGCGCGACCCTCCGACCCAATCTACTCGGGCCCCCATCTAGGAGACCTAGACATTAAGGGTATCTGCCCCCTCGTCATATATCAGCCATCGCCCCATAGAGTACATTGCAATCCTCTTAACGCCCAGCGCGCACAGCAAGTGGGCCAGCACCTCTAGGAACCAGCGCGCCCACCGCAGGCAGGCGCCATACAGGACCCACAAGAGCAGGAGGGACATTGGAATGACGGCGCACACGATGGCAACGCGGAGCCCCCGTGCTCAGGGACTGGGCCGACTGCTCAGTCGGCAGGAGAGCGACCTCCAGAATCAACAGGAGCAGGGAGAACACCCGACTGACGGTGAACATGATGACCCTGTGGAGCACAGGCGCAAACGCCGGGCTGCCTGCTCGGTCGGCAGAAGAGCGCGCCCTGCTGAATCCACGGGGGCAGGGGACTCAGCACCTCCATGGGCCGGCGCAGACTGAACTGGAGGGCGGGGGGGTCATGGAGACAATGGAAATGATGGCCCTGTTGTTCCTGTTAACGGAGTTGCGTTGCACGGGTAGACCCTTCAAGTTCGGCGAGCCAGGACCAGGCTGATGCATTGCATCGCGGTGGCGAAGTTGCCGACATGGAAGAGGCAGACGACGATGCTGTCGCAACAATGCCGAGGAGGAACGGCGCGCCAGGGACGCCCATCTCATCGAATGCGTTGTCGATTGCGCCGATGCGCTCGAGCCTCGGGAACAGAACGGCTGCTCCGCCAATTCGAGCGCTGCCGCTGATGCGGTGGAAGATGAAGCACTGGGAAGGGGGTGCCATTGATCGCGCTGGAGGCGCAAGGAGTTCCCGTGGACCTCCTGGACGGCAACGAGGCATCCATGTCGGAGGAGCTGCATGAATTACATGCGTTCGGCTGTCTGCTGACGCCTATGGAGCGCGAGGGGGCGTCGAACATTCCATGAGATCAGCTTTAGCCCCTTTGACACGCTGGGTCGCCCACTGAATGTATCCCCCACGATGCGCCGCGATCCTCGGCGAAGGAGCCTCAGTCGGTACCCTTGGCAGCAGCAAGGGACGCGACCTTGGCCGAGGTGCCGATCTCGAGCCTGACAATGTGGGCACCGCCAATGGTGGCCTGATATTCCTGCTGGGATGGGGCGGAACTGCACGTCCTGGCACGCAGACTCCAAGGTACGCTGAGGCCGTCTCGATTGAATTCCCCACTTCACTTGTCGTGGACTGTGATCTGTGCTGAGCAAAAGAAAAGAGCGCCAGCAACCTCCAGGAAGCCTGGGTCCTCTGGAAGGCGCAGTGCCACGCGGGAGTGCGACTTGGCGGGCATGCCCACGGAGGGGTGCCTCGGTGTCGGGCGGTGCACCGGGGCCCCGGGGGGAACTGCATTTCGCCCCTTCCCCTGGGCGAGCAGATCTCCTGACGAGCAACCAGGCCTTCCCAGCCGGGGGTCCCTCGCCTGAGAGTCTCGCCCGGGGGACCGGCTGTGCCGCGCCTCCTGCCCCCTCCGCTCACGCAGGTTTCCCGCGGGCACCCTTCAGCCTCCCCAGCTGGAGCCTCCCCCTCTGGGAGTCGCGGCTGGTGGGGATTCCCCACCCACCTCCGAGGTGTGAGCGGGCCGCATGTTGGCGGGCGGCAGGGTGCTTGGCGCGCGCGGCATTGACGCGCGTTTCCGCTGGCATGAATCAATGGAATGACATGGCGGGCGCCCAAGAGTCTGACCGTGCGCCCCGCGATGGTAGCCTGCGAGAGCTCCACTCCTGAACCCTGAAACCACTGTAGAAGTCCAGCTTGCACTGAACCAGGGGCAACGGATTCAGGGGAACCCACGGAGAATACTGCTAGGTCAGGTTGTCGATGAAATTATGCCTCTGCAATGAGATGAGCACTTGGGGCGGTAGCTTTATCCCATCGAGGACATGTCTGCGATGTGCCTGCTCCGTCTCAGCCGCAGCCAGCCTGCGACGGAGGTCGGCAAGCTCATATTATGTTGCAGCGTGGCGGCTTTCCCAGGCCTCGTGGACCTCGTGAGCTGATTTGGCAATCGTCTGGGAAGGCGACAGGCGGAAAGATGACATGGCTGTGCTCCCATGCGCGGCAAGCTGGGCGTAGAACGATCCCGTGATGGCTTGGGTGGGACCAGGTTCTGCCGGCGAGCAGCCCTCCAGGTCGACTTGCGGCAGCTGGCTCATGATGTACATGCTCCATCCCCAGCGGAGCCTGGTAATTAAGCACCTCACCATGGTTCGGCCACAACAAGAAGACCAGCTGGCGGTTGAGGGGCAGCGGGGGCTGGCGCAGCGAGTGGCGCGGCAGCATCTGAGTTGCGAACGTAGCCTCATTTGCCACTACGACCTGGGAGAAATTCCCTCCTGGGAGGGGAAGGTGGCGAGGGACTCGAGATCTGCCATAGCAGCGGCAGCGACAGCTCCACCGGGCGGGAGGGGGGGCAGTACTTGAGCAACCACCATGGGCGTGATGAGGGAGGGGCTTGGATTGTCCTCCAGCACGACCTGGGCCAGCTGTGCTCGCAGGTGTGGGCGGTCATCGCTCATGGCGTTTTTGCTCTCGTCATCGGTCAGCCCGGTCTTGGGTACAGGGGCTCCTTCAGGACGGTCGTCATCGGCAGGAGGCTTGCGACTGGGACAAGGTCCTCCACCACTGCGGGAGGCACTTTGTTCACTATGCGAACGAGTCTCCACTGTCCATTTCGTCGTCGGATTGAGTGGGGGCGCCAATAGGATGCATGGTGTTGATGTCCGCTGTACTGCACTTTCCACCTCAAGACCAATGCTATGGAAGTTCAGGGTCAAACTCGATGAGACTTGGATACGGAGGGCCGCCAGCAAGGCCAGGAAGAATCGCTGGAATGGGCGGGGGCTTACCCCTGGATGTGGCTGCAAAGGGTTGAAAGCTGTCCGCGGACCAGCAGCATCCATTAGACACCACGGGGGGGAAATCACCTTGAGCCAAAACGGCTACGGGAGGGAAGAGGGAGGAGGGGTGAAGAGAAGAGTGAGACGAGGGGCGCTGTCTCAAAACGAGGACCCAACACCACAGGACCGGTTGGGAACAAACGGCGGCGCGCCAGCGCCCGAAAACAGAGCGCGGAAACGAAGACCGCATGCAACAACTCGAGTAGGGGATCGACTGTATAATTGATGCGCTCCAAATCTTGAACTTCCGTCGGATCTACGAGACATGCTGATAGCTTCCGTGGAACCACACACACACACTCTACGTATGTTTCGTAGATTCGACGGGGACTCAATTCCCAGTAGTTTGGGGTAAATCAATTATGTAGTCGACCTCCTGCTCGAACGCGCTAGCAAAGCAACGTCTTGCTCGCGCCTTGGGATGGACAGGGAGCCCGCGACCTCGTCCAGGGGCGTGCCCTTCGGGTTGCGGGCGACCTCCGCGCCCTGCGCGAAGCTCATGGGAGCCGCGCGCGCGGCCCTCCCCGCGCGCAGGCTGCAGCAGGCTGGGCCCCCCGGTCTGCGGAGGGGCTCTGAGCACGGGCAGCTGCAGGCTGGGCGATGCTGAACCCTGAGATCCTGGCGACTCCGACTTTTCGAGCCGGACGTTTTCGCCCAGTTTCGGGCCCCGGGCCCCAGGGCCCTGACAAATGGATCCGGCTCAAACAGTAGCGCAGAAAGATGGGGTCCGGGGCTCCGGTCGTGATTTGTCACGATGTCTCAATTTGTTCGGGACGTCGGCTCCCAGGGAAGGGGGGGGGGGGGGCGATACGTGAGGGGGGAGAGGGAACGTGCACCCGTCGCGCCCCTCTTGGGCCCCAAGGGGGGGCCCGTTGGGGCCCCTTCGGGCCACAAAAAGGTGCACCTCCTTTCTTCTTCACCCCTCCATGGAGCACGTGGCCGACTCCGGAAAACCAGAACCCAGCAATGTTGTCATCTCTTGGGAGGTCGACTTTTCCTTCCGCCAGCTTCCGCCGGCGGAGCCGCCGCCGTTTTACTTCCGCCGCCTCCCGCCGACCTTCCGCAGCCTTCCGCCGCAGAAGAGATGGCAACTCCTTCGATCCTCGGAGGCAAGGCCCTCGTTGGAACGCCCCGTGTATCGCCCCCCCCACTGCGTGACTCCCGAGCAGGGAGGATGGCTCGGAGTGCCGGGCGGAGCAGGCGGAGGATGGCGGGAGCAGAAGGGTGCACGCAGGGTCGGGAGAACTGCTGCTCAGCGTGTCGTGGCGGCGGCCCTGGCAGCACGCGATGCCCTGCGCGCAGCTAGCGTGTCGCTCCGCTCCGCGGGGCGGGAGCCGGGAAGGTCTCGGGGCGTTGACGCCTGGGGACTGGGCCGTGGAGAGCAAGTCGCACCGAGGCGTGGTCGGCCAGAACAGGCGGAGCGAAGTGCTCAGCAGCTGTTCCCGACCGTACGCAGGTGGACCCGAGGCACGGCAACTGCAGAGTCGCGGGGGGAAGGGGCCCCAAGGGTGGCGCATATAACCTCGTGCGCCGCCCTCTCAGGGGCGGC